TTCAATGATTTCTTGGAACGGATTACTTGAAGTGAAAAATGATTTTTTTGGAGAATTTGTGATTAATTAGAAAAAGTTACGGGTTCATTTTATTGGTAGGATGTGTGATGAAAAGCGAGTTTGAGAAAACATCATTTTCAAATAAGCAATGCCAAACAAACCCTTAAATGCCTCTTTTATCTCTTTAGAACATTTTCCACCATGCTCTATAATTTGCATTAAACCTCAAAAGTCCAAAAACATGCGTTTATTTGGTGTAATTTAAGAAGTTGATAAAAATTAAGGTCAAAATCAATAATTAATTTTAATTATACATTTTATTATATTCACAATTGCTATTAATTTTTTAACTATACATTTTATCTACTTTTATTAAAACCTATTAAAAATATGACCTTTTTAGCTACACTAAACCGGTCGAAATATGTGCTCTATAACACATAAAATTTTATTTTCAATAAATTTGAAGTCAATTTGACAATTCTTCCCACAACATTAGAGATGAAAAGATACCCAACAATTGAACTACCAAGTGCACTATTTGGTGTAATAACTTATATAATGCTGGTTTGGTATAAATTAAAATCAGAGTTTTACTAAATTTTGATAAGTAGATGAAATGTCTGATTGAAAAATTAATTGTTGACTTTAACTTTAATTTTTTTTTTTTTTATATCCAGGTATTCTAGTTTACACCAGACTATGTCTTGGACCACCCATCTCCGGCCCCTCTCCGGCCCCTCAATGATGGGTGGAGGTTAACCGCAGGATATGTCCAAGTTGACCAGGGTCAACCTTTTGCATGTGCATTGTCCGTCTTCATCTCTTCTATGAATTTTTTCACGAGATTTGAATCTCTATTTAACAATTTTCTTTGCTAGGGTCCTAACTTTCAGATTAGGCTTTTTTTTTCATTAATAAGTTTTCCTATATGGCCTCACTGGATGCTATGGTCTCCTCATTAGCCCATCTATATACATAATATAATCTATGAACGGAATATGCCAATTCTAATAGCCTCATAATCTTTTTATTCATTTGTTACATTTAATTGTACAAGATGTTTGGTTCACGATAACATCAATCTTAAAATTCGATTATTCGTTAATATCAAATTATTTGTTTGAACTTTTTAAAGTGTGATGTACATGAATTATTTTTAAAAGGAGTAGCTTCGGTCTTTATCTGTTGAATAATTTTTTGTGTTTAAACAATATGAAATTTTATCTTTAATAAAAAAATTCTTATGAATATTTAAATAAATAAACAATATACTTTTTAGAGACGAAAGATGCGAGATTCTGAACTCTAGCCAGCCAAATGTAGCAAGAAAAAAAATATGAAATAGCCTTTGAATTTAAGAGTCCTAAACCTATATATATTATGCGTGTCGGAATACTTCTTCATATTGAAATTATTCACAACAAATGGCTTGATTAGTCAAGTTATTGCTCTCATTTGGTTTAGCTGAAAAATTTAAGTCAAACTTAATAATTAATTTTAATTATATATTTTATGGAATTCATAATTTTTCTAGCAAAACAACTTCCAAATAATTTAACAATATTGCTACTTGTACATCTGAGGTTGACACCTTCTCACATGCGAGCCCCTCATATGTGAGGAAGTGTAATCCCAGGTGCACCGAACTGGACTTCGAAATGCACGCTCCGAGTTCTCATTGGAGGACCAGTGGCCAAAGGCGTTGTTTCTCGATTTTCTCCGATTAGTCCCCGAGTCGCCATGAGGGTGCAACATTCTCAACTTCCCTGCCGATTTTTTATTTTTATTTTACGCCTCGGCTTTATTTTCAGGATTTCCCCATCTTTGTAAGCCCTCATGCATAAAAATTATGTTGCTTTCATCTAATCCAAAAAATATATAAGCACCATTTGCTTCAAATTCTGCCTTTGACGTTTCTCTTTCCTACGGAACAAAATGACTTGAACCAGTAATGTTATGTTCTTGATCTTATCCTTCAGACAATTGGATAAGGTGAAAGTATTACAAGTATCAACTTGAAAAATCACGTTCTCTTTCAACACTCTCTTAAGAGAAATAGTTTACTGAACACAATAATTGATTTCCATTGTCATCTAGACAGAGTGGCTGTTATATTTTGTTTTGTACAGAACTAAATTTTATGTCAATTTTGTTACAATCTCATCTTTTTGATAAACTAATCCAAAATGAGCACCTTCTAAGCTTCTGAATCGAGTTGGTTTCTGTGTAAAATTCTTTCTGCTCAGTTATAGGTCTGATGACTGCTCGACTCCAGCTTTAAGAACCTCCACTATTACAGAGATGAAAAGTTGAGGATTACAATTTCAAGATTTAAAGGTTAAGGACATATTCGCACAAAATGCGTATGGTCTTGGTAATCGCTCGTGGTCAACTGATTACAATTAAGAAAAAACTTCACTCGCATGCGAGTTTAATTGTGCTTAAAAATTACTCTCTCTCTCTCTCTCTCTCTCTTCTAATTATTAGAAGAGTAAGTTCATGAATGCCCTAAAACTTGGACTCTCAATATATAATTGAATAAGACTATTTATCGTCACTTGGAATGATCTTAGTTTATGTAACATGTAATATGGCCCCTATTTGATGTATATTAAAATAAGATTTTTAGTAAATTTTGATAACAGTTGAGGGAATGCGTGGTTGAAAAATTGTGGATTTCATGAAATGTGTTGTTAAAATTCATTGTTGACTTTGACTTGAAATTGAAATCAAATTTTAATCAGAACCAAACAGGGGCCATATAAAATGGCAAGATCAATTTAATGTATGGATATATATCAAAAACGTTATTCTTGAAATTAATCTCTTGCCTTCAGTAGATTGAATAAAAACTTCACATTGCTAATGTGACCAGAGAACTCTTGTGCTATATTATTTAGGCCACTGTGAATTACAGGTAAAATAATGGTTGTGGGCCGAAATCTATTCTAAGTAGCTAGTGCTTGCCGGGGGAATTTTTTCTTTTGGTCCCATTCACATGTACCAAAATGCATAGCCAGCCGAGGTAGGTTTGCTATGTTTTCTTTACGTGATTGTGTAATGTGATACAAAAAGTAAAAGTAACAATCATGACTTCAAATGGGACACATACAGTTTGATAAATTAATGTTAAAAGATGCAAACAGTTTACATTGGCACTTATGGATTGTGTGACAAAGTTTTTGATACGAGTTCTTGTATATTCTCATAAAAGCTAATAAAATGTACGATTGAGAAAATTATAAAAGTTGTGGGTTTCACGAAAATTTGTGGTTAAAATTGAAGTTAGATAGGTTGAAAATCGATACAATTTTATCAAACAAGCAAAAATTATATTTTCTTTTTGATGAAAAAGGCCAATAAATTATCATGCCTGCAAATGGGGACAATTTGATGAGTGGATGTTAAACGATGGAACATATATAATCTCATATGTACATAACATGTTTGTTGCAATATTAGACAGTTCAATAAAAATAATTTTAACTTCGTTGTTACGGTTTACTTTGTACATACCATCTTTGTCACTTAATTTGTTATTTGTATGGTGCTTATTGATGGGTTGTTTCTATTTAGTTTACTCTTAACTAAATTGTGCACTTCACGCATCGACTCTTTTAAAAAGGAATAATGCCATTTAATACCAACGGTGCTAGAATATCAGTCTAAGTAGTCACATTTAATAGGTTTAAGTGAACCCAGGGGTGGAGCTAGGAATGAAGGATACGGGGGCTACTTGGTTGGACAATGAAAAAAAATGGGCTTTGACCAAATTTTTTTTTTTTTTTTTTTTACAGAAGTTGGGCTTGGGCAAGGGTGTAGCCCACCCCTATTTCCGCGACTGAGTGAACCTATCATTCAATGTTATACAATTGCTATCATGCAGTTGCTACCTTTGTGCTAAATAATATTACTCATTGAAAAAATGATGAAGTAAACGGAGACATCACATCTCCACTCGTTATTTCGGTAAATTAAACACATCTCGAACAAAGTGCTCTTCCATGTGCTGTAAAGCTATGAATCGTGGATGGTGAATATTTAATAATTCTTCTGCTGAAATCTATATTCTACTTTTGCTCAATGCTCTACTTTAATGGTCCGAGAATCTGAAGGAATACTTGGTTTTCTGCAAAGGGCTGGCAATAAAAAAAAATAGGAGAGTAAAACTCTCATTGTTACGTTTGCGACATTGAACTAGACGTGATTTTGAAAATAAACATGTCAGGTGTTTACCCTTAATCATGTCTAGTAAAATGTATTAAAAAAATTTAAATGAAACTAATTACAAAACTTTCTGTTGATCTTTTACTGCACTTTGGGTCATTTTTTCTTATTTCGGACTGTCATTTTTTCTTATTTGTCCAGTTTGCCTAATTCATGTTACTAAACATATAATTACAGATTCTGAAAACTCTTAGCTAAAAACTTTTAATATTTACTTGTGGCAAGATCTTAACAATGAGAAGAAACTGGGGGACATGAATTCAGCAACAATGACAGAAAAATAATGTACAAATTGAGCAAAACTCTGGATTCTGCACTCAAAAGTAAGATCAAGTTTTACCACATAAATCAAACTTGAACTAAAGCAAAAGTTTAACATGCAACATCCTCCATGTTTAGACAACACTTTATCATAAGTTCTTTTAAACAATCCACCAAAAAGAAAGCATCTGGAATATATATACATGGATAGCATGTTTCGTACCTTGGATTGGACAAGACTCAACCGGGCTCGAGAAAATTTTATTCTTAAAACTGTCCAGGTCCAGCCATGTCCGATTCAACTTACCAAACATGATCTGATATGGTCGGACAAATCAGGTAAAACAAAATAAATCAATACCAACAAGAAACTGAAATAGGCTAAGATCTGCAGATTATTCACCACGATCCTCCAGCCAACATTTTGTTCCAGTATGGACCATTGATGGATTCTCCCAGCCCTCTATCCTGCTCGAATTCGGACTTTGAACCCCCAATAAGGAACGGGAATTTAGGGTTTGTATTTTGAAAACTACCTCCCATATTTCCATAACCATTTTCAAGCCCATCTGAGGAAAGATTAAGGCTTGGCAATCTGAGTCCATGCAGAGGAAATTCAGATGAAGGATACATTGTGTTAGAACCCGAACCCGAAACTGGAATGGACATAAGATGAGAACTGATCAATTCGCTGGATGAGAGAAATTCCATCACCGGATTATAAGATGATAAGGAAGAAATATTAGGGTATGGGGAATTTAGGGTTTTACAGTCATCTCTGTAAGGTAAAGCAACAAATCCAGGAACCCTATTGGTAGATGGATAAGCTAGATTCAAATTCTGACCCTCATAAGTCTTAGGGTTTTGATCAGAAGGCTGATATAAGCTAAGATCTGCAGGAAGCTTCTTTGATGATGATGTTGACGACGATTTCTTGGTCTTTCGTGAACTGCCACCCACCGGAATATTCCTTAAAGTACCCCCTTCAGTCCAGTACCTTCTACAAGTCTTACAAAAGTGTCTTGGCTGAGACAAACTATAATTGTTGTAATAACAGAATTTTGTGTTAGGAGAATTGCATCTTGGACAGTCTTTTTGTGGCCTAATTATTGGCTTTCTTTCAATAACCTAAATAAATAGACGAGAAAACAATCAGTATGTGTGCAGTGATCAAAACCAAGAATAATCACAGAACAAAAAAAAAAAAGGTGAAACAAAAGCAAGTGAATTCCTTTACTTTTGAAACTCTAACAAAGCAATAAAAACAACTTAAAATTTGCTTTTTTGGAAACCCTTTTCAGTACTGATGTTGAAAAAGTTAAAGAAAGAAAAAGCGGAGAACTTTTTTGTATCCATGTGAGTCATAAATTCAAAGCAATAGTAGTGGAGTCTGATCATCTGTTAGCAAAAGTTGCTTTTATATTTGTCATCAATACTTGTTTTTTCTTTTTCAGTGAATCAAAAGCAAAAATAAGCTAAATTACTCAAGAAAATTCAAACCCTAGAAAGATGTGATCATGATTTCATTGCCAAAGGGTATTTTTTTTTCATTTACCTGCGACCACTTAGCAGTATCCATAGCAGAAAAAAATAAAGAGAAAAAGGTGGGGAGAGAGTCGTGAAAGAGAGGAAAATCACCCACTTTTGGTTAACTGGTCTTCAAGCAAGAAAGCAACTTGAAGGGTTCTGTTTGGCGGTTCCATGTGTTGTTTTTCTTTATCCGCATCCACGGGGGTGGGTGGAGGGGGGATATCAGGGGTTCTTTATGTCCACTTACCAATATTTTAGTGGCATACTTCATCGAAGTGATTTGCTAGCATATGTTTGAGCATTCTTATTACAATAAGTTGTGAATACATGATAGAACAACACTTTATTTATCATTACATGAATCTCGTAATTTCACATTTAATTCAACATTATCACATAATTTTACATAGATTCATATTGTAACACATGATGTCAAATAATATTGGATAAATCTATATGTACATAATTATTGTAATAATGGATTATATAGGCCCATGTGAAAGAAATCCGGCTGTTGATGTGAAGTGTGGAAAAGTTAAAAATTGTAGACTACCGATGGATGCGCGCCACATGTCAATTTTGTAATGTATTATGTAAATGATTATGTACTTGTAGCATGGTCCAATAATATTACTCTTGAACATAAGAGCTTCGTTAATTTTTTTCAAGATTAGTTAATGATGCTACTCCTACTTGTCACTTTGTAATTTGTGGATAAAGGAGATGGTAAAAAATTGTAATTTTTTTTACTATATTACCCACGCTCATGTAAAAGCACGAATTCCTATATGAAGTGACACCAACTCCAAAATAGTTGAGATGAGATGGAATTCGAATATCTTATTTAACTATATAGTTAATGGACGAAATAAGTTGTAACTCCTCCATTCAATTAATTCAGCTACGTACAATAACTAAAAGTTGATCAAGGAACAAGACTTACAAATTGATATGCTCGAGCTTGGTATCGATATATTTCAATCATACTTCAAAGCTTGAGTTGATAACTTAGTTAACCGACATTGTCGCACTTGATAACTTGAATATTGAAAAAAATTTAAATGAAACCAATTACAAAATTTTCTATCGATCATTTAGTGCGGTTCGGGTAATTATGTAAAAATATAACTTCTTTTTCTTATTTAATATTGTTTAATCTACTTTACTAAATATATAATTAGAGATTGGCTAAAAACTTGTAACATTTACTTGTGGCAATATCTTAGCAATGAGAAGAAACTGGGGAACTAAATGTAACAACAATGGCAGAAATGTAAAACTCTGGGCATTAATTTTCGATAGGTAATGAGATCAAATTACATGTCTGACCCTAAAGGTTCCAACTGGTAAGAGATTTCAAAGCTATAGCACATGATTGAACGTTTTTATGATTTTTTCTCATTCTCCAATGAAAAATTGTCAAGTGTAGTCAGGAAATATTTTTTTGTCATTGACCCTGGTCATGTAGCATGATTGTGAAAATGAACCTCATTGATACGACGGATATATATCGGAGGAATAATTTTATTTATTTTTTATAAATTGGGTTAATTTTCCTTTTCAATTTTCTTCATCTCAATTAAATAAGCCCTTGTTTGGTTAAAATTAAAATCTCGATTTATTTTAAGTCAAAGTCAACAATTACTTTTTAACCACGTGTTTCGTAGGACTCACAACTTTTCAACTACACGTTTTATCAACATTTATTAAAATCTGCTAAAAATCTAAACAGGCGCCAAGTATTTTAGTCTTATTGTGAGTTTTGGATAGAAAGATTGGTAGTCAATACCACTACCTTCGTGTTCGGCACGTTGCATTTACCCGTTACTTCTTGCAAATGTAACAGGGCAAATTGGTCTTTGATTTCCCGGTTGATACAAAACACTAACGACATTTGATGGTGATGAGAATTGCGAGTCATAACATCAATTTTTTTTTTAAAAAAATACAAATAATAATGGTGGTGATCATACCAAAATTGGATGAATCCCGAGCCGAGCAACATACCCGAGGATGATGGCCCCAACTTTCCACCAGAAAGCCAAATATAGCTCGGGTTTAGTCTCCTCGGGTTGGGCATGTGTCCTCGGGTAGGTTTAGATGTAGACTTCGCCCCCCTCATCGTGCTCCCCATCGAAGTAGCAGTAGCCCTACCCTGGAAGTGATCCTAGACTTGCCCAACCACCCAAACCTAGGAATCCTAAATCATGAAGGTGTGTCCCTTTGGTAACATTCCAATTAAGGTAAGTTGAGACTCCTCATTATGCTCCAACACTTGCCCCTACAATCACTCCCGAAAATAAGGAGTTGAATCCCACTTGAACTACACTATCTACTCTTATAAATACAGCCCTCTCATTCACTATTGAGGTACGTTTTTTGCATACGATTTGAGCATCCAATATTTCCCATATTCTCTCTCTAACTTAAGCATCGGAGGGGCGACGAGGACACACCTCGACGCCTTTGTTTCAGGAACCGGAAGACCGCGTTCGTGCTTATTCTCAGTCGTCAAGCTCGGAAGTTGACAGGTACGCTTTTTGGTAGCATCAGGTGGTATGTAAAATATAAGAATATTTGAATAAATAACAAATAAAGAAATTACTTGAAAATAGAATGAGAGAGCAATGAAAATTGAATAATGTGGTTTTATGAATGGCCAGAGGGTCGGCCAGGCCAGTGGATTTGGAAGGCTGGCCCTAAACACTATAAACATATGGCTCGGACCGGACCAAGACTGAGCCTCAATGAACTGGGCCAATGGGTCCAATATCGACCGGGGGCTCGTACCACCCCTAAGCAGTTGACACATGCTGCTCACGTGACTGGTTGGCGCTAAAATACCTCTTCCCGCGAAAACAAGAAACGCGCCAAAGCATTTTATTTATTTTGCGGGTTCTTCCATCTTCTCTCTATATAGATATACATTAATACATATTTATTACACACAAGCACGCACATTGTTTGATTAAGGATTCCCAATTCCCATTAACAATGGCTTCAACGATGTCCTTAAGGAAAAGAACCCTAGCTCCGAAGCCGATATCCGGGGAGTCCAGATCCAAATCAAAGAAAGAGGAAGGTTACGGTGATGTGTGCTGTGAGAATTGCGGGTCGGGTGACCGGGCTTCGGAGCTTCTGCTTTGTGATAAATGTGACCGTGGGTTTCACCTTTATTGCCTGAGACCCATTCTCGTCGCTGTGCCCAAAGGTTCCTGGTTTTGCCCCTCTTGTTCCAAGGACCACAAACCTACCGGTATGTTAATGAGTTTTCTTTAAATTATTTATTTTTCTTTTATTTTTCAGTTGATAAATTTTGACTTTTATTTATATTTTAATTTAATCATTTCTATATAATTTGATTGCGGATTTGTTTTTACACAGTTAACTTGCGTAAATATAAATTGTTTTTTTATTGGCTTCCTCAAATTTTGATTTTTTTAAAAAAGAAAATCTCGCAATTCTTATTCCTGCATATTATCTTTTCTTTTTTTGGAAGGAATTATATTTTATCTTCTGTTTGTTTTATCTCTTTATCCTGAGTTAAGCTGCATCAAAGTAATGGGTCTTCAGTGGTTCGTGATTTACTATACTCAGATTTCTTTAAATTTGATGATTACATACAATAATTTTCCAAGAACTCGTCAAAATCTAGGAATTGTCATAATTTGTTAATATTTAACAAGATTGAGTCAAAGGCAAGGTTTATGTAATGGAGATTACGAAATAATTTATCTAATGCTATGATCTTAGCCATATGTTCTTAAGTCCATGCGTGAATATTGTTAATGCCATAGGTTCTTAAGGAGCAATCAAGGTAATATCTACTGGTCTATTGAACTGTACGTGAGGCCTGTGTCTTAATGGGAGTGGATTTGATTTGGCTTTATCCCGATTTAAAGGCTTTGGATGAGAGCAATCGTTATGAAGTATGAACTGTTTAGTATCATATGATTTCAAATCACTGGTGCATCTGCAACATTCGTTTTGACAATTTAGTTTGATGAGGCATCTGTTTTACAAAATACTTTATATTTAAGAGTGTGAATAAAATTTTGTTGTTATCTAGATTGACTACTGAATTGATCTTAATTGTTGATGTGCAGGCTTCCCTCTTATACAAACCAAAATTGTTGATTTTTTCCGCATTCAGAGGTCTTCACCATCTGCAGACAAGCTCAATCCAGGTAACAGACATCTTAGAGTTCCATTATGGTTGTTTGTCTCCTGATAACTAATTATGTATACTTTATGGCTTGTTCAGTAAGTTATACTTCAGAGTACTGGATAGTAATAAAGAAGAAAACGAAGTTTAAATCTTTGTTTATTGTTACCGAACATGCTTTTTTAGTTTTCTACTGGTGGATTATAAGATCCTTTTGTTGTTTGCTCACCTTCTTAGATAGCCGAAAGAGACGAAGGCGAAGTTCTGGCTTGGTGGTGTCAAAAAAGAGTAGGAAGTTGTTGCCATTTAATCCCAGTGAAGATCATATTAGACGGTTGGAACAAATGGCATCACTGGCTACAGCATTAACAGAAACTGAGACGCAGTTTGTTAACGAGCTCACTTATGTCCCTTGCATGGCCCCGAAGTCAGCTAATTGTGCTTCACTTGAGAGAGAAGGAATGCAGGTATATTAAACTTCGCAAATTTTGAGCGTATTATTCCAAGTAAAATTATTGATCAGGACTGTTGTTATGCTACAAATCCTACTATAGTGAAGATTGGATATAGCGATTGCAAAAACCTTTTATCTCAAATTTATATGTTGATTGTATTTTGTCATGTAATTGAACGGTTGTAAAGATCCCTTGTTAAATCGGAAAGAAAAACTTAGCAAACTGTTGCATATCAGCTGAATATAGTATATTTCAAGAAAGATATGTCGAAATATGAATGTTCTTGTTATTCTTAAAAGTACAACATCATATACCAAGTCTCATAAAGCATTATACTTTATTCTCTTATTTTGCTGATTGATTCTCAATGATTGTGCAATTGCCAATGACAAACATGTTAAAACGTTGCATGAAACCTGTATCCATAGGTTTTGTCAAAAGAAGATGCAGAAACCTTGAGTATGTGCAAGAATATGATGGAACGAGGGGAATGGCCGCCGCTCATGGTTGTGTTTGATCCCCTAGAAGGGTGGGTACCAATATTTTCAATTGTTCTCTGACGAGAAATTTTATTAAAATTATCCGGGATACTTGTTCTAATTTCTTTTTCAATTTTAACAGATTCACTGTGGAAGCAGATAAAAATATAAGAGATTTAACAATAATTACCGAATATGTTGGAGATGTTGATTACCTGAGGAATCGTGAGAACGATGATGGAGACAGCATGATGACTCTTCTCTCTGCTGCTGATACTTCAAAAAGTCTAGTCATCTGCCCGGATAAACGCAGTAATATTGCTCGCTTTATTAATGGAATCAACAATCATACATCGTATGTCAATCCTCTTATAACACTTGCTTTCTGCCTTGATCTTATTATATCTCAAACTTGCTGGTTTATAGTAACTGGCAAAGTATACTAAACCCAAGTCGTGTGAAAGATAATTAATCTGAATTGATATCATGCGAATCCTTATCTGTGTTACATTAAGCTTGTAACATTTGACTAACCATTTTGGAGCTAATAGTTGGTTACGGATATAGATCATTTGTCATTGACGAATTTTACTCACTTTTTAGACGGGGAGGGTAATTGACAGATCTCACATCTTATATATGAAATCAAGTTGTTGGACCGTGTAAGACCATGGAGCCTAATTATACTATATGCATATTTTCTCGACTGTGGATCAACCTAATATTTGGCATTCTACACATGAATTAGATCTAAATTATATTCCCCATGTATATAAATGATTGCTCCGGGGACTTTTTTAGAGTCATAGATATAGGAATTTGCAGCAGTGAGCTCTTACATTAATTGTAACTACTACAAATCTGTGTGTACTTTGCTTATTTTTTGTTTATATTTGCTTGAGTTTAATATCAATGTCTAATCCATAACACGGCTCACAATTTCTTCAAAAGTGAAAAATGTCAAAAAGGGATTTTCCTGATGAAAAATTGTCTTCTGGTGCAGGGATGGTAAAAAGAAACAGAACTTAAAATGTGTGAGATTCAATGTCAATGGCGAGTGTCGTGTGCTGTTGATAGCAAGCAGAGACATTCGAAAGGGAGAGAGATTGTATTACGACTACAATGGGTATGAGAACGAATACCCAACCGAGCATTTTCTCTGACCTCGTAGTATTTCCATCTCAAGTTGAATTAACGAAAATTTTTGGGACTTGCTAACTGTGTATTCTCCTGCCTCATGCAAATCCTATTTTTGATCACACCATCTAATTTAGCAGAAAAACAGATAGTCTCTTGTACCAGAGTCTGAATTATTTTTTAACATTCCTATGTTTTTAAAATCTTTTACATATTTATACTGATCTTGATAAAATTATGGGCAGAAATGGTTGTGATATTTTCCTGACATTTTCTTCAAGTAACACTTATCCTAGAGATTTTTGTACTTCGTTCTGAGATTCTGCACACAATGAAAGCTTGTGGAAAAGCATATAACTGCTGTTGAAACTCCCTCGTTTTATGTGGCTAAAAAACATTATCAGCCATTGAATTTTATAGCACTGGCTCACTTTTGTCATCAAGTAGCGAATGAACTTTCATTTGAGCTTAAATGCTTAAGTACTTCGTGTACCTTAGCCTGTTAAATTAAACGAAATATCAACATAGCTAATGGAAAATACGATGTGGCCTGAAAATATGTTAACTCATTCATTTTGTGTCTAAATTGATAAAAACATGCATGGGTGAAAATTTTGAGCTTAGTTTATCATTAATTTAGAACTAAAATGAGGTTTCGTCTGCGAAAGCGGTGCTAAAATTACTGTATCGTCTTTTAGTGCTATTTCTGTTAATTATGTTGTAGTGGAGCCTAAACTAAGCCCAAAATGAATCCAGGTACCATTTGGGTCACAACCACATCTTTATCAGTCTCTCAGCCCAATCACAAGAAATTTCCACCACCACAAAAATGTTTGTAATGCAACATTGTTTACAATTGTCAGAGTTCTCTAATGACATATTTGATATGGAAGATCAAATAATACTAAATAAAAAATATCAAAAATTTATCTAATATTAAGAGCACAAGGCAAAAGAGGGCTTTAACTTGTGATGTGGGGTTGTTTGAAGAGAAAATTATCTCAAACCCTTCCTTTCAAGTTTACATTTCAAAATTCAGGTGATAAAGTTTACATTTCAAAATTCAGGTGATAAATAAGATGATTAATTATATTACTCTCTCTCTCTCTCTCTCTCTCTCTCTCTCTCTCTATTCGCAATCCCCGTCTACGCCACTACCACCATTGTTGGACTGTTGCAAAGACAACACTACCGCCGCTCTAAAGACGCCAACACCGAGCAGCGGTGCTTTGAAGCAGTAGTGTCAGGACAGTTGGGAAGATGCCTTACCATCGCTCAAGACGGTCACCCCCGCCACACTGCTACAGCAACCTGCTTGATGTGAGCGTCGAGCGATTTGAATGTCCCTGAGTGAAGCGGTGTCGATTCCGTCGTAGATCCATTATTCGGTGATTTTATTTTTCGGCTATGTCGACGATTTGAATTTTTTGGAGGTTGAATCAATCAAGTTTACCGCTTGGATTATTTAATCCCAGCTGAATTGTATTATTTTGTGTTGAATTGGTGTTAAATTGGGATATATATTTTGCTGGTTTTGGTTGGAAACAACCTAACCATTACAGTGGTGTTGGCGATTTGAATTTCTGGGAGTGCACATCCATTAATCAGCGTCGGCAATAGTTCTGGAGTGCAGATCCATTATTTTTTTTTCCTAATTTTTGATTCATATGTTGTCTCGCAACTTTGGTTAAATTGAATGAGATGTTGGAGCAAATTATGTAGAAAAATTCTGCTCTTCTGTTTTTCAAGTATAAGGTCATGTTCATTTCTAAGAAATCTGAAGAAGTTTCAGCCCAAGTACTTCTAAGATGGAAGTTGGTGGTAATGTTAGTTGCCTTCTCAGTCGTTTGATTGTGATCGATTTTGTGTTGATTGTGACCGATTGTGACTTGAGATTAACATGGTCACAGACAGTCACACTCAACACAAATTTGGTCACAATTAGTCACATACAGTCACACTGGACACAAATTTTTTTTTTCCGATAATTGTTTTAGGAAGTGGTGGCAGGGGTGGGGTGGGGTGGTGGTCGGTGGATCCATGGGTTGGGGTGTAATTTTCAATTTTTAATTTTTAGAAAATTTTGAAATCGCTGGAGCGATCGCCGGACCTTCGCCGTAGCAGGTGCCGGAAATGGAGGGAATGTGGTGTTGTGGGGTGGGTGAGGTGTCATGGGGTGTAAATAATTAATATATATTATATTATATTTTA